AGTACTACGGTAATAGCTTATTCCCTATATGGGAAATTCGCTAAAAACCTATTTTTACCCCACAAATCACCCTGTAAAACCACATTCCCATGGTCCAATCATGCTGGTTCCCGAAATTGTTGAAATAAATGTAGGCTTACACGTTTGATTCAAATATCATTAAAATATGATAATTATTGTTCAAATTATCGTGCTAAGGGACACATATATATAAACATATATGTGGCTATATGAATTTGATCAGACAGTGTTTTTGGCCTCTGAGAACATCAAAAAGAAAATGTAAATTGGTCCCGGGTTTAGGTCTTACCATGAAACTTACGGTAATAGCTTTTTTTCTCTATGGGAATATCGTTGGATTCGCTAAAAACGTAATGACATCCTCATATAACCACTTCAAGACTCGTATCTTTGTTAACATGGATTAAAAGTAAAATATCTATTAAGCAATTGATTTATACTATTTACACAGGACAAACACGTGGGATTCATACAAAAATTGGTTTGAAAATGTATTCAATTAATTAAGTTCCCATTAAAACAAATAAATAGAATGCATGCAATACAACATTTTTTTGTAATTTGATTAATCTACTGACTACTAATTCGCTTATAACTATGTTTCCAAAGGGATCAGAATCCTTTAATTTGTCAGTGCACTTTGTGCCTTATTGTTCCAGCGTTATGTCTGAAGTGTTAAAAAATTGGGTTTTGGAAAGCTTATCCCATGTTGTGCTGCTTGGCTTATATTGTCCTCCTCTGTCTGGCCAGACAAATTTCTCACGTTTAGAATGAAAGCTAAACAGGTCATTTATCTTTTCAAATCAAACAAAACAACTGTGCTCTAGTTTGGCACATAAACACATGTACCGCTGGACTTTCTTAAATCATTTTTTTATCAAGTTATTTTATTCTATTGCACCTAAAAAAAATCTAAGGTCTACTGTATTTGCTCAACTACATACATAGACATGTGTTAGTGTTTTAATGTGTAATATATGGGAGTTCTGAACTTTTTTTGCAGGCGGTGGGACGGCAAGCTGGCGGGTGTGGAGGATGAGGCTGCCTCTGCTTCTCGCCCTGTCACTCGCACTCGACCTACAACCCTCGTAGACGCCTCATCCCTCACAGGTGAACACTCAAACATAACACTTGTCCAACAGCTTGCCATGCTTATTTTGTTCATTCCTCTTGTAGTTTTTATGTTTAGTTTTGTCGATTTGATCCCTTTTAATCATCATATAGCCTATCATAGAACATTTTTCAAAGATAAGCCATATTTTTATTTTATTTTTCTCCTAGCCTGTCTCTAAACCAATATACTAAAAATTCATACTAAAATATACTGAAATATACTAAAATTACCAAATAAAAAATAAAAAACTAATTTTGAATTGGATCAGTCTTCTATATACTGTAGGTCATTATCATTAAACAAAAACCTAATATTACTTTCATTAAAGAAGGTTTTCAAGTAACAAGCTAACCAAGTGATTGGTTACTGAGCATTAGTGGTTGCTTGAGTTAACTAACAAGCATGATTATAGTTGTTTAGTATCAAACCCATTACTAAACAACATACAAGAGATGAGGCTTGGAATGGTTACGCCTGTCTTGGGTTTTCATATTTTGGTTCAGCCTAAGACAACTGGCTTGTGTTGGGGATGTAGGAAACCGAATCTATAATAAACTAATTGAGTAATGGACTGGAAGCTTCGCAAAGGCTCTACTGTCTTCATCTCCCGTCTGGTTCCAATGTGGAGAGAAGCAGAAACAGATTTGAAAATTTAATTATAACAATATTCAAATTAAATTAATTATATCTGTGGTTTTTATCGCCATAAAACTATTGCTGTATGCTAAAAACCTCAATGAAAGAGCAGACAGAATTTCAATTCCTGTAGAAGAAATAGCGCAAAAGCAAAAACTTCTTGTCACAAATAAAGCGCTGTGAAATGAAGACTTTGGGCTACATGATGAAAAGTAAAGAGAGCCATTTCAAAACTAATATGATTTTGTTTATATAGTATCATATTTTTATTTTTATTATATTTTTTACAGCTGACATTTGTGAGTAAAAATGCTGTAGGAGTAGCACTTAAACTTAAGATCATAAATGTTTATCTCACTTTAGTTGAATTTTAATTGCATAATTTTACATTACATAGTTGTTATTGTTTCCAATCAAATGTTTATAGTTGTCAATAAAAATATTTTTCTTAAATTATAAAATGTGTCTGTTTATGATATTGTTTCATGGATGTATAATAACTCCCTGGATTGCGCACTCAGGTTGTAGGTACATCGGCTCTAAAAACGGGCCATCGCTATCAAATCTCATTTCAGAGATCAAATTTCACTTAGATTTATGCCAGGCCACTAATAGTGCTTATATCGAGTCATACTAAGTTTCTAATAAAACTTGAGAATTTAAGCTTTAAATACATATAAAACATTCAACATAGTCTCTTATTTGTTATCAGTATTTGCCTTTAAAATGTTTAAGTTCTTTTTCGGACACCCGGTATTTAATGCCAATATCTCCAATTTATTGACTATTCTCATTGAAGTAAAATAATAACAAAATTTTTTTCTCAGGTTAGTATTAAATACTACTGTGAATCAAAAGTTTATTGGTTTTTATGTAAAACTATACTCTACTGTAAGCAATAAACATACGCTTGTACATTTATTTACTATCTTTTGTAATGTAATGACATATTTGATGTACAGTAGAACCCCAACTGACCGAAATAAAGGGGGGAGAGCCGTTTCGGATAACCAATTTTTCGGTAAACCCATAAAATGCTAAAAATAGCCTACGGTATGTATTACCACAGTGTGTAGGAAAAATGAATTTAAACAATGTCTTTATAATACAGTGTTTTATTTTAGCTACAAAAATGTTACAATGGGTTAGAAAAGCTCCTTTCGAGAGAGGAAAGAGCCTCTCTGTTTACATATTAATTACTTAGTGTACTTATATTTTAGCCCTTTATTAATTTATAGAACCATTTCTGTTAAACCGATTTTGGTTAACCAGGGTTCTACTATAATATGATATAATTACATACCAGAAATTCATTATCTAAATCCTGTAAACTGATTCCGAGCCAGCCGAACTCCTAGCGCCATGCCACGCCAAGCAATTTTGTGCTTATTTGTAATAGCTTAAAACAGATTCAAGTAAACTCTGTCAAAAAAAGCTTCAAATAAAAATAAAATTTATACCTTAATCTCAAAATTTGCTGCAGGAATTTTTTTCTGAACAAAAAATAATAAAGTTAATATTGCTTACTACATTTTTCATGTTTTTAGTGGTGTTAAAAACTGTCATCAGTTTTGCCTGGATAAATTATAAAAAATATGTTAAGGTTAAAAATAACTACATAGTAATGAGCACTGATTTTTCCATTAAAAATATATAATTTGAAATTTTTATGTTAACAAATCCCGTGTAGCAGAGCAGGTTGAGTTAATGTATGTTTGATTTTGATCATATTATTTTGATCATATTAACCAACAGTTGGCTTCAAAGATCGAATCCTGATACTCGAATCTCAAAATTAAAATGAAAAAGCTGTCCGATTAGATAATGTTACAAATAAATTAAGATAGGCTACTTAATAATAAAATGTTTACTATTAAATTAAAACTGAATGAAGATAATTAATCATTCTCACTAGTTTATGTATCTGGCCAGAGGGTAAAATTCCGGGGGTAAATATCCGGGGGGTAAAATTCCGGGGGTAAAAATCCGGGGGGTAAAATTTCGGGGGTAAAATTCCGGGGGTAAAAATCCGGGCCGTACATTCTAGGTTTTTATAATTTGATGTGTTCTGATTAAATTCACAACCTTGAAAATATATGTTTAATTCCGCGTTTAATCCATCGAGCTGATGTCGCGAAACTCAAAAGTTCGCGGCCGGAATTTTACCCCCTGGTTTGTGACGTCACGTTTGCCCAGGGGGTAAAATTGCAGGGGGATAAAAATCCGCTACCCCCTACTGTTTTGGTAAATAAATAGATAAACACACATATTAAGGATGATATCCCTGAATTGTTTTAAGTTGCATTTCTATTTTGTATTTCAAATATTGGTAGTTTGGAAACTTTTTTGTTGGTAAAATAAGTATTATATCAAAAACTAGCAGAGTACCCGTCCTTCGTACGGGGTTGGAATATAAGTATAAAATGCTTATTACAGTTATACTCAAGCTTTGCGTTTGCAATAAGGGAGGACACAGTTTGATAAAATTTGCTTTTTTTAAATTTACAGTATTCTATAGTATTACACATCTACCATAGCCATAATGTTCTACCACTTCACGTAAACAATAGAGAAAAATAAACTATTAACAATTTGCAAAATATCACAAATTATTCATGAAATGAAAAACATAAACATAACTGTAAACAATCCTACTTTGACAGTTCTCATTGCGAATCACAGTTTTTTGTTGCTGCTTAGTTCAAATTAGCTGTTTTCATAAATGCAAAAAAAATATAGTGCTGCACCCTGTTGGTAAATCTTATAACTTTTTAATGCTTTTCCATATCATAGAACCAACTTTTTTTAGTTGAAACAGCTGACTAAATTCTTTAATTCCCTTTAAATATGAATACTCATAAGGTTAACATGGGGAATTACAGAGCCACTGGGGCGGAGCCCGAAAGGATTTTTGATATAAGAATATGCCTATATGTTAATCGGGAATGTAAGCTATCATCATGCCAAATTTCAGCCCAATCCGTCCAGTGGTTTATGCGTGATTGAACTTCAAACAAACAAACAAACAAACAAACAAACAAACAAACAAACACACAAACTTTCACATTTATAATATTAGTAAGATTACAAAATATTTATATTTTTAAAATATTAAACAATATTTTGCTCATCACGTGTGAGGATATTGAATGGTTTTCTATGTTTGGCTATCAGCCAAGTGTGTCCGTCTGTCTGCGTGTCAATGTGTTATTTCTGTTGGGACCTTCGCTGAGATCACGCCTATAACCGGTAAAGTGCAGTTTAAAGTGTACAGGATAGACAAGGAATCTAACGGTAACATAGTTGCAGATGATGGTGTAAAAAGTGATAACTGTGCTTTCTTAGTGTTTGGGCATTACTGTTGTAAAGTGGTGATATTAAAAGTTGTTTTTAAAGATAAGTAAGTTGAGACGATTTTAATATAAAAATATGTTATATTTGATGTTAGTCATTTTGTAAATCAATTCGTTATTGATTATGCAATCACAAAATTAATGACGGTATTATTTCACTTTGTTTGTGTTGGTCAGTAGTTAACATTTATTGCTTTAATAACTTGTATTATTATATGTGGTGTCTAACTTTCATAGAACAAAGCATATTTTTATTTGTATTAGGTATTTCTGCTTTAGTATTTTTCAATAAGAAAATAATTTAATAAAAAATAAAAAAAATTTGTAAATATGTAAAAAAAATTGAGTTGTTTGAGTAGTCTACTTTCAAAATTGTACTGATAAAATTATACTAGGCCTATAAAAAATATCACTATAAAAAATACTTCTACAGTATTTTTTTATATAGTCTATGCATCAATTGATTATCGCAAAAACATGTAAAAGATCTTATTTTTTTTTAATATAGAGAAAGAACGTTATGTAAATGAAAGTCAAGCAAGTTGTGTAAAAGTTTGTTAGCTACTTACACAAACTGTCAATGTTTTTGTTAAACTGCATGTAACAGAAGAGGTGGCAGCCCACAGCTGTAGGCCTAGAGGTTAAAGAGGTTGTTGTCCGTTCTTTTCTTTTTGGAGGACATAACCTAAACTAAATTTACTCACTAAAGTCTGTGCTGTAGCCTATTTTTTTTTTTAAACTACACTTAAATATTGTTTACAAAAGTAATTAAACTTAATTACAAAACTTAAATTTCTTACATTTGACCTAATAATACTTTATTGTCTTGACAATATACATTGTATCAAAATTACAATTAATTAATTCTTAACTTAGGTTTAGTTTCAATTTAAACTCTTTATATATATTTAATTTACAACTTTTTTGTGTGGAAAGTAGAAGGAAATAATTCATACATTAAATTTAACGGACTGTTGTTCATGTTGCAAACTGTGATTATTTCCTTTACAACACCAAGACACACCCACATTTCCTTGGTTAAAATTTAAAAGATAAATTCACCTGTTAAAAAATATGCACTGTTAAAATGTTATTATGTTCAACCTTATAATGTTAAGAAAATGAATACCAAATTTTACCTAGTTTATACATATTATAAATATTCATTGCAACATTCAATAGGTTAAATACAGTCAGAATCCTTACAAATTTAATTGGCATTAACTGAAAACAAAATATATATTTAGCGAATTACAATTAATTTAGCAAATTACAAAGAGATAAAATGAGATAGTAGATAAAATAGTTTAAGATACTTAAGGAAATTGAGAATCAAATTCTTAAACCTCCAATACCATACATAAAAGACAGTGCTAAGCCATGGGCAGCTGAGGACTACAGTCAAGGCCCTCAACACTGAGGGCCTTAGGGTCACTGAGCACCCCTTCTACCTTTGCCAAAACACTAAATTGTACGATTATCATAATCTGTTTTCCAACAAAACTTTTACGAATTTTTTGTGTGAATGTTTTATAATAATTTTTCAATTTTTTGTTGGATAGGTGTTGCACAGTTTTTCTGTAACTCTTAAAACAATTAATTTATTGTTGCATTCTTGAAAATCGTTTTTGTGCAGTTGAATCACTTAAACAATTGCATCTTTGAATATTTACTTGTAGACTATGTGTAATGGTTATGTTCTTTGCCAGGAGTTTTAAAATCCGTTTCAAAGAGCCCAATATTAGCTTAAATCCTGTGAAGTTTTAATCCCGTAATAGTGTTAAAGCAGCGTGAAGTCTGAAGGCTATTTAAACATTATTCAGTGATGCTGCAATTAGGATTAGTAAATGTGCCAACTTTCGTTTCTTGCCAGCAAATTCAATAGTTTGACGTTGCAAGGTGTGTGATTGTGTGACAGCATTATCTACGGCTTTACAGCTGTTTCTCTGTTTTTCTTATTTTTTCTTAACCAATCTGTCCAATATTTTGTTGTGTATTACTGCAATGAAAACTTTCAAAATTATACACAGTATTGTCTGAATAACATACTTGTAAAACATCATATTCATACACAATTATTCTATAGTTTCGAAATTTTACTTAATCATTCATATCTTCCTAATATTTATTCTCATTGTTAGAAAATAATAGTACAGTAGAATTTCATTTGCACAACTTCAAATACAAATGCACTTTCCAGACCCCCTTGAAAACACCGTAACACTTAAAGTTAAAATAATCTCTATAACTTGACTATTAATAGCAAAATAACCTAAAAAACAGACCTTTTTTCTAAAACACATTGTAACTCAACACATCTATAATAAGGCATTTTGAGAAGTTACATAGATATTAGGACTTAGTTGTTTCCAGTTAATAATATTAACTATATTTCAATATCATTAAACAAATATAAATACCCTTTTAACTTATCACTACGAAAAAAAGAAAACAACTTTTAAAAGCTAAACTTTTAATTACAATAAATAAAAATGTTAAGCTCGATACTGTTTTAACGAAGGTTCTAACAGAGTAGGCTTACAGAATACTGACTTACAGATCAGTTAAAATTGTCATCTTACTTTTAAAATGTCAAATGAGAAATTCTTCCCATACTATGTTTTTTGTTAACACTCTAACGTCTTTAGCCAGATGACTTGTTTCGTTGTTCTTTAACCATTATTTTTAGATCATCAAAAGCGCTGCATCTTTGACATTGCTACGTACAATGCCCCATGCTGAAAGCAGGGCTCTGGCATATAAAGACCAACTTTTTCAAGTGTCTGTCCTTGACTTGTTTAATGGTTATGGCAAAAGCGATTTGACATGGGAACTGTCGACGTTTGAATTTTAGGGGAAAATTTCCTTCTGATGGTTCTAAACTTAATTGGGGCAGTAACACTCGTTTTCCAGCCGAACTTCCAGTAACAATTTCAAGATTTCGGACTTTGTTATTCATCTCTTCCCCATTAATCTGGTTCCATTAACCAGCCCTTTTTGTGGATTTTTGTGGATCCTTAGTAAAATTACAATTACACCTTTTTAAAGGCATAATTTGCGAGGAGGTAAACCCCTTGGTGGTAAAGTGTGAAGAAATTCATCAGGTACATGTAACTTGTCTCCCTCTTCTTGAATCAAAGTGTCCACTGAATAGTAAACTCGACTGTCATCATTTAGTTGCTCAACTATTTTATTATTAATTTCGTCACAATGTTCATTCTTTGGTGAAAGTATTGCATGATTTTTTGTCTTTTTTAAAGCATCTTTAGTCGCAAGTCTTTTAAAGCAAGATTTTGTCAATGATATTTTCATTCACAGTTGTGGTGGAAGACGTATCAATGAATCACCAAGATCATTATGATAGCTCTCATGGCCATTCCCTATTTGTAAAAGATATTCAGCAAATATTGATTCGCTTGGATTAGCTCTCATGTTTTTAGCAAGTGAAATATTTTTAAACATTGGCCATAAAGGTGATCTATCCATTTCATCAGTCATCATTATATTTGAAAGTAAGCTGATAAATAAACATAAAAAGTAAATATTAAAATGACATAAGGGAAAGAGGTTATTTTTATGAAGACAAATGTTTTTAAAAGGAAATGAGTCATATGTTTGATCAACTTAACTAAATTTTCACTTATATTTAAAAATATATGGAAACTTTAAAGTCCGATGGGGCGAAGCACATTGAACTGAGCGTAACAAAAATTATTCCATGACTTCTACAGATAATTCCCTTTAATTTGACACATCAATCATCAAAATCGGTTAATAAATAAAAGAGTTTTGCTGTGCACAAGAAATTCCTTACGGAATTAGAATAATAGAAGATACGTAGGCCTAATTGTATTAAACAATTACACAAGAATTGCCTGTAATAGATGATTTGGACAAAACTTTTTCAATTTAGACTTAAGTACCAAACTATAAATAATAATAAAAAAAAAATTATATGTGTTGCTCTGAAATGCACTCACTATAAAAATATGTGCAGTGCTTTCATTAACACAACAGAAGAGCACCTTGATAACAAGACAATTCCACTTATCCTCTTGGGGAAACATCTTATCAAGGTTCTACTGTACTAGCTTATGGGTTATTGGGACACTGTTATAGTCTTGATGTTTTTAAATTTGTAAATTTCGGATGAGAAATAGTTATATTTAGCTAATATCCCTGTTGAGAAGTAATGTCTTTGGTAATAACATTGAGTTGCTTATTTTATAATGAATGATTTTAAATTGTTCAAATATAATATTTTGTCTAGATAAAATGAACTCATCCACTAAAAAAAAAGAATTGAGATATTAAGGAAATCTAACCATGCAGAACACCTCTTCCAACCTGTAAAACGCTAATAAAAAAAAAGTTTAATAGGAAAAAATGAAGGGAACCCAATAGAACTTTAGAATATGTCCTACTGGACCAAGAAAATTATCCCTAATAATCTTTCCATTTTTATGACGAGACTAATTGTATTGTGAATTAAAAAGTTTTTCCAATTTCAATATTCAATTTCTTTATTCATTGAGAAGTATACATAATACAGTATGTGAATAATGTCAAAGATTACAATTATTAATACATAAAATACAGATTAAAAAATAAATTATAAATAAAAAAGTACATCTGCCTTCTTTATGTCTAGTATTCTTGAGGGAGGTGGACAAATTCTACTTGAGAATAAATTGCCATTCTTATTAAGAAATTTTTTATTTTTTTTTTTACTTTTTGGATCTTTTTCATTTCTAATTCCTCCAGGGATATGTTAAAAAAAACTGTTATTAGTAAATGATGTTTTTTTTTCATAAAACTTTAATCTGTGCCTATTTTGCAAAAACAGATTTTTTTTCCTCGTTTCATATCAGTGAACCGGTAGACTGGATACATCGGATGAGGTTTTATTAAAAAAATTAAAATTGAATCAACAATATATTGCCCATAAACAGTAGTATGTTTAGCTGTTCGAAGTGCTCTTTTGCCAAGACATCAGAAATTAGTTTGAGCATTACTCTCACTGCTCTTTTTTGATGTTTTAATATTTTATCTAGATTGATTTGAGTTGTTGATCAAAATAGACAGATACCAAAGGAAATATGTGGAAAAAATTTACTTTGCATATATTTATATGAAAATAAAATTTTTTCAAAGTTTTGACATCACAGTACAGAGATATTTTTGAAAGGGCAAAAAATCCAGAGTTGAATTTGAAACTATTAGCGAATTTCCCTATAGGGAAGTAGCTACAGTATTACCGTAAGTGGCACGGTAGGACCTAGACCCGGGACCGATTTACTTTTTCATTTTGATGTCCCCAGAGGCCAAAAACACAATTCGTTCAAATTTTTATATAGGTATGTATATATATATATATATATATACGTCCGTGAACGCGATAACTTGAGTAATTTTTGTCCGATTTTGATGAAATTTGGTTTAAAGGTGTAAAGCGGGAAAAACTTGAATGACTTCGCAAACCAGCATGATCGGACCATGGGAACGGGGCTTTACGGGGGGTTTTATGGGGTAAAAATTGGTTTTTCTCACATTTGACCCTCAAAACACAAAATTTCCCAATTTCTCTTTAGACCTTTTTAAAGAGCTTAAAAAAACAAATAATTTAGTATATAAAAGTATTTTTGTTCGGTTATTAGTAATGGAGAAAATTAAAAAAATTGAAAATTTAAAATTCCCATGTTAATCTTATGGAGAATATTGTCAAATGTTGTAGTTTGCTTGTTTATGGATATATTTTGACCAAACTTGGCAAATTTATTTATTTTGTACTAAGCTATCAATATTTTACTCAAAAACACACTTTATTAGTTTCCTTGTAGCAGCAAACCTAGGTACTCGTTAAACCTGACGTTATTAAAATATATTTAACTGAAAATCAATTTAGAAAATGGAAATTCGCTTAGTCGGCAGGTTTGCTGCGGCGGGGGTATTTTTTTTATATGCTCATTCCAGTTTAAATTCTGATCCATCATTAGACCCAAAAAGTTTGTGCTGGTCTTTTGCTCATTAAGTTGTGAGTCATACATTATTATTGAGGGATTAGAATTTTTATTTTGTGGTGTTTTAAATGTGATACAATTTGTTTTCTTTTATTTAATTTTAGGTTCTGGCACACTAGATAACTGCCCAAATTTCCGAGTTCTAGGAAAGCAGAAAATTCTGTTTGTTCCAGTATAGGAGAGGAAATCATTAAACTAGCATTGTCTGCATACAGACACAATTCACTTCTAGGTTTACATACTAGGACACTGCTTATGTCCTTTAAAAAGCACAAACGGACAATCATATTTGACTTTTAAATTTAATTCAAAATTTTAATTGTTGTGTTCCTTGTAAAAGCAAAGCTAAATCATTTAGCTTATTACCAGACAAGGAACTTATTTTAAATTTTATTTTAAACTTCAAAAAACAACTGATCTTGTACTGTAGTTTCAAACTAACTTAAATATAATTAAAAATAAATAGAACTTAGAATATAGTCAACTGGTACATTTAAGTTATTTATTATTTCTTTTCTATCTAGTCATTGAACCATGTCAGCCATACCATTTTCAATGTAATGTGCATGACACTATTGTGACAAATCTGTCTAGATTATAGCTAGCACGTGGTGTATGGTGAAAGTGTATTATAGTCTGTCCCAGCTAGTAGTCATTGCTCAGCTGGTCTAACTCAACAGCTGTTTGCTACCTCATTTGTGGTTATCAGATGACTTAGTCTACTTCAATAACTGTCATTATCCCTCTGTCAGTGTCACAACACAGTCGACTCTTGTGATATTAGTTTGTTAATTATTCTGTCAAGAGTGCAGTGCTTTATTTCAAAACCAAACAAACATTTATTTTTCTGACAGTCAAGTGTTAAAATTTATAAAAAATTTTGACGATTTTCAATGTATGGATTGATAAAATTAACTCAAGGTAAAAGTCACCTAATAATGTTTATTTTTTATTTTTGAACATAAACCAATTTTTTTTTATTTCTATTAACAACAAACTGAAAAAATTAGATTTTTGTCAATATGATATGTAAAATGAAGTATTTAATACATTACCTTAAAATAGTTCACAGTTCAACTACAAAATGCTACAGTATTAAATTTACAAATTTGTATTTATTCTGACTAATAAGCAAAATTATAGCATTTCTTACTAGCATTTCACCATCATGCTAACTCATCTATCTGATTAAAACTTAACCTCTGATAGAAGAGCCATTAGGTGAATCACTTAATTCAGTAATCTCAACAAGTGTGTCAAAGATTCTTTTAGTGTCTGTGGCAGATATTAGAACTGAATCTTATAATACCCTCGTTCTAGATTTACTGTAGCTAATTTAAAAACAAAATTATCGGTATTAAATGAATAATCCTCCTTAAAAAAAAAAATTATGACCAGCGTAAAGAATCAAGAAAAAAATAAGATCAACGTAAAGATCAATATATTCAAATACAATTTTTTCAACTATGATTTATTTACAATGTTAAAAATATTAATACTGTATAAACGTACCTTGGATTTTATACTACGGTAATTAATGTTTCTGAAATATATTTGAAAATGTATTTTTGTGAAGGAATTCTTGAGTTATTTTGTATACAAACAAATACCTTTGAATGATTTTTACCAGTTTTACTGTAACATTATTCACCATGACACTTTATTAGCTGATTCATTTATTAACTACTGTATTGTATTGTTAATTTAGTACCGTACACTGAATAATCCTTGTGACTATGATTTGGTTCTGATGGAGATGTGGGTTTGATTTTTAAAATTGGTTTAGTCCAATAATAAAAACCAATAATAAAAATCCAAATAATTTTAGAAGCCTAAACATGTTAATTACTGCTATTTAAATACATAGTGTTTAAACATATACTTATTTTCTAATTATATAATCCAGTTAAAAATAACTCATGCTATTAGTTCACAGAAATGCTTTTAGAATATATACTTGGATTTGGTTTATGTGAGGAAATGAATCTTAGTTGTCCTAAAATATGTTTTGAAGTGAGCATATTATTTTGGTTTCCCAGTGACATAACTGCCAGGTGAGGTAGGGATTCACTGGCTAACTGAGCACTAGTAGCACTAGTAGAAGCAGTACGGTAGGCACTTGCTCAATATCTCTGCCTCATTAACTCATTCACTTCTGTTTCCCAGAAATATTTTTTTGCCCAAATTACATTTTGGTTCCTTCACTCATTGCGACTGTGGTTTGCTCACTGTATCATCTGGCAGAAAATAAGCTTTGAGAAGTCAACTTTATAATATACAATGCCATATTAGGATGTTTCTGGACACATGTTAATAGTGTCTGTTGGCAATAGGTGTGGTGCGAAGTGCGAGGTGGTCAGTGATAGTGTTGTGTAGTGTAGTGATGTGTAGAGGAGGTACATTGGTGTTGTGGTACGCAGACCTGTGATGTTCCCGTGGTCGGACAAGTGCCAGTCTGCACGTCTGCGCAGGACTCGCCGTCTCAGCGATGAACGTGATCTGTTGGATCAGTGGACACAAGGTTAGTGATGGGACCAAGTATTAAAAGTAGAGGAAAGAGGAATGGCTCACAAAATAGAAGATTAAAAAATCCATCAGTTTGGTTAGTAATAATGTAATAGACCTACCAGGTCTTAAACAAAATTAAATAAGGTTTTATCAAATTGATTTAAAAAGAACAGCAATATAAAACATTCTAATTGCAATTCAGTAGTAAATGTCCAAAATAGTCAGCACATTACATAACCCTCTTATTTGATCTTGAAATGTATTCATTTTCTGAATATGCCCCTGACTATCCCGCTTATTATCAAAATTCACTTGCAGTTCCCCATTTTTATTTTATACATTTTGATGTGCAGTTCACTCTGAAATTATGATATGACAGGAAATGTTATATTAGTCTCACTTTTAAATTATTTTCCCCCTCTAGTCCTTGTTTTGTTCTCAACAGTTGTGACACACCAAGTGAATATGAGAGGTTTACTGTAACTCTTTGTATGTATGCCAAATCAACAAAGAGTATATTAGTAGTTAACTTCAATATTAGTACTTCAATGAATTAGTAGTTACAACTTTGTCTATGATATACAAATAGGTCTACTTTCTATCTTAAAGTTAACCTTTCATTGCTTTGTTAGTGTTAACTCCAAGACTTATTTATGGATCGGAATATATCACGATGATCTGGATCTCTAACCCAACAAGGTTTTAAACTAGATTAGATAAACAGTTAAGAGTAAAATTACTTGTTTGAAAATACATTTTGTTTTCGATTGGCTTAAGACCTCTCAGCACTCACTTTCTACCACTGTCCAGTTGTAGATGTAGCCTGTATTACTTCCTCTAGGTATTGTAATCAGTTACTCATCAATTCAATGTTGCATATGTATGATACACATTGTATGTAGCTGTCTCTGTCACATTGCTAATATGCTTTGGTTGTGTTGGTTGTGTTTTGTATTGTCTAGTTGCTTTTGTAAATACACAGTTTGGTTCATTTCAGTAGTGTTGCATTGTGTGATTTGTGTTCTCAAGAAGTTTTTACACTCTCCTCTCTATTATGTTGGAGTCACGGGTGGATTTTTTTGTACATTTTTTGTCTTCTTTAGTTTTGGATTTTCGTTGTTTACTCTATTTTTATACTTTAAAGAGCACATTATTTCATACATATTTGGACTGGACTACTACTAAGTGTATGGTGTACGTGTTCGTATCTACTTCTGGAATCAGACTTCTGGGTCTCATAAAAAAAATATATAGGCCTCTATAGCTTAAGCTTTTACTATCTAGTACCTTTAATTCTTGAATTGATAAAATAGCTACACACCTTCCAATTTTTTAAATTGTGTTACATGCACGTGAGGACAATTAAATAATTGTTGCCATAATGATCAAAGTACAGTTTTGATTGGTTGGTTACTATGTAGTGTTCCAGCCCAACAAGATGAGAGTCAAGCTATCACTGAAACTGTCGGTTATGCTAATTGGTCCATTATTTGTAAACCAGATTGATTGGATGACTTCTCATGTTACAAGAACAGTTTTACCCACATCTTGTTCTCATGAAATATTGAACTAAACTAACCAGGTTAGCTAGCTAGGCCTGATTAGATTTATATTCTTCATTTGAAACTGTAAGACTTTACGTTTTATTTAAACAAAAAGGATTTAACTTTTAATATTAAAAGTTACGAGGTGTTAGCCCGTCCTACGTACGGGAGTAGTCAGTTAAAACTGTGTAGGCCTATAATTCAGAACAGCTAGTTTACGCGTATAAAGACAAATTTTATTGCAGCCTACAGTAGAAAGAGTAATTATCAATTGAGAAGTGTATAGGCGTACTCAATGATATCACCTTCCATTGCATACCTGCCTCTTCCGTAATCAATATCACCACAATACAATTACTCATACTATACACAATTTCCAGTAGGTCTGAATTGAAACTCCCTAAAATAAAACGAAAACATCCAATAAAATTCACAGTACACATAATTATAACGTTGGTGTCCGGACATCATTAAACGAATCGTCCACACACATCCTTTATGTCAATTTCACTGCATCAATTGCTAAATAAATAAGTGTAAACAAAGAAAAGTAAACACAACAACATATTAGTTTGTTTTGTAAACAGCTGAGTCAAAAATAAAATAATATTCATTTGAACAAAAGAACTGGTCACATGTTGAAGGAATTTAAAAAGTAAAAACGCTAGTAAAGCTAGTGAGGTAATTAATTGTCTATGTTTATTATCCACTCCGTTATCAGTTCTAATATCCTTGATAACTAAACCACCCTCATTGAATCAATGTACATCGTAATTCCCAATATCCATTTATTTAAACTATAAAATATTCAGCGTCTCCAAACGTTACCACAACTAAACACACGACAATCAACTTTTTAGATTTCATAAAAGGATGGTTAGTCTAATTGCAGTATCCTATGCCAATGATGACGTTGTGTTCAATCTTATGTCATTCATCTGTATATCTTTGGATAAAACCCGTCTGAGGTTGTGGTGGTAATTTAAAATCGTATTCCTGAGGATTCTTGATCTCTATCTTTATGACATCAATATTTCCGGGCCTAATCCAAACAAAGTTCAAGCATTCAAAAACATTGATTGTAAACAAAAAGCTCCCAAGATGAATTAAAAAATGTAAAAATTGTGATTTTTCTACCATTTCCATAAAAGTTGAGCAGTAAAATAATTTGCATATCTTTTTTTTAAACTCGTGTACAGAGCCTCGACTTGTACATATCGATGGTGTTACTTATCTCGGTGGTCTACTAATCTTACTTATTTCCTATAATCAATGACAAAATCAGAGTAAATAACCTCATAGTTCTATAGGGCATTTTTATAATTAACCAGCTGTTAGTTAAAACAAATTATATTGCACTAAAACAAACCGAAGATTACAAAGATTACTTAAAAAAATAATTTGAACATCCTAGTATTTTACTATGAATATTTAAATAATCCGTCATCCTCTTATCACAGGATTGAACGTATCAATGATTAGCATGACACATTTACAGCTGTTATGTTAAGCAAATTATACTATACCAAAAGCTAGTTTAGAATCTTAGCGTCGGCTGCTAGACTTTTCAAAAATTAAAAGTTAATTTCTAAATAACTGGGACCCTAAACTAAAATTATGGCTTCGACATTCCCTAGTTCTCAAAATTACCTTTCTTTCAACTCAAAAATCATGAAAATCCGTCGAGTGGTTGATTCAGAATCGTGAAATAAAAAAAAACCTGTTACGTTTTAATATTATAGATAGAATTTTTAAGTTAATGATCAATTTACCTAACATTATAAATTATACATTTTATAGACAACAAAATTGCTAGTTTAATATAATAAATGCAAAATGAAGGAGAAACATTGTTGATTGTCTACATCATCACATCGCATGTTGTAATAACAGTAAACTGCAGAAAAGTTAAACTATTTTTATTTTAAAATAATAAGAAAATCAATGTTTTTAGTACAGTAGTTATAATGTTTAACATTTCACTAAACGTTTTGTATGCATTGTTTGTGTTTTTTTACAATCTCACTAATATCATTGACTACGCTAATATTTTGATGAAGTATTTAAATGTTTGTTTGGGGAGCGATTTTGTATTGCACTAACAAGATGTACAATAATGTATACAATTTTGACCCTTAAAAAAACTACAAGCCATGAAGACAGAAATAGTGTTAGATAAAAATATAGATGTAGGTAAAAGTTGGATCTATATAATTATTTACTTTCAATTATGAAACGAATTACGATTCGTGCTTGTGAAGACATAACTTTTCTTGTTTGGAGCAATGCAATGGTTTTATGAATGAAAAATAGTTGAACTCTACTCAGCTCAGCAAACTTAATTGACTGAGTGGATGCCAAGGATGTTGGCACTTGCAAATTTCAAGGGAAATGTTGTTTATTTACAGCTTATTTTTTAATCTGTACAGTAATGAGAATACTTAAGCTATATTTTACCGCCATTTGACTATTATATAATTTTAACAATGCCCCTAGCACTTCTTTCTTGAAAATCTCAATGCTAATCCAGTTTACGCTAAAAATTCTACAGTAAAACAACCACAAGCATATTAATCTAAAAACTTAATCTTACCACAAAATGTATTTGTGTAAAAAATGATTACAAAATGATTACAAATGTAACTTTCTAATTGGCAGCCTGCTTATTTAACCGTAAGCCTAGATATAATACATGTCTTACAATTTACTTATGGTACTTGCTTATTATTATTACTTTCTATTTTAAAAAATTATCATTATGTTGACAAATGTTTTATCATCATGTTTTATTCTATCGTGAAAATGTTTGTGTTACATGTAGATTTCAATTGATAATATTTGATTAACAAAAGATAAATGACAATATGACACTCTCCTTCAGTAACTTTTATCATGTTCAATTTGATAACCCTCATTGTCTTAAGGTTTTTGGATCTTTTAAAAATCAGTCAGCTACAAAAGATGCAACAAAACACAAATAGATTAACTATTAAGACTAACATAATTTTAATACCTTAATTTTCATGTTATGTATGTGTAATACAATAGTCAAAGGTAATACTCTCTATGCCAATGTTGTTACTGTGTGTGACTGATTTATTAACATAAATTTTGTATTGATTCTGCCATTTCATTTCAAATAGTTCTTAGTTTTCAATGATTTACCCTTCTCTCTTTACTAGATAACCGTTAATGGTTGTCACATGAATGTTAAGAATACACCTAATTTATGGCTTCTTTTAGTTACTTTCCTTTTACTGAACCATTGTATTTTAATCCATAATGATGTAGTTTATTTTGTTTTAATAAATAGTTACTAGTAATTAAAGATTTGTATTGATTAAGTTTTTAGGCCTAGTTTTCTTTGAAATCATTGTAGGTAGAGAGTCTAGATTATCCAATGTTATGCTTATTCAAGCATTCGTTTTGGGAAGCGGAACGAGTGCCATCCTTATTTTTTTCCGTGGGA